CTATAGCTTTAGAGTTGGCAGAGTCTCCTGTTTCCTCTATTGCTTCTGAACCTTCACTGGTTGGCAATGGCCTTTACCTTTGAACACAGTCCTTCCTGTCATTAGAAGACAGTGACTGTAGCCTTGCTGAAAGTGACAGGTATTTGCCTGAACACCTTTTTGTGACTTGTGACCCTGCCCCCAGCAGTAGGACAGAGTGGAGGAAGGAGGAAGAACCTAAAAGGCAGGTTCTGTGTGCCTGCACCTCTTCCTCCTCAACTCTTTCCTCTCCCAGGGCAGATGGTGTGAGTCGCTTTTACTCTCTCCCCTCTTTCTTTCATTTGGTCAGGCCTTAACATATTATATACCTGCCTGACCAGGTCGCCTCCGGTGTCCCTGGAAGGGAAAGAAGGAGGAGTAAGGGTTTGTTTGCCTGCCTGCGGAGGCAGGATTGATAGAGGCAGCAACTCCTGGTATGTCCATGGGTTTATCTGGAAACAGGAAGGGGAGGGAGGTTGGACACCTTGGTGGAGAGGGATTTTTCTAGTTATGCATTTACTTTCCTTTATCTGTTACTGGGTGTGATTGTAAGTTTGCATGTGTGTGTCAGTGGGTCAGTCTTCGTATGACTGTGTGTTTGTGTTTTTGTTAGTGACAGAGCCTTTATTCTTGCCAGTCTGCCCTTGAGAATGTCTGTGGGTGTTTTGTGCCTTTCACTGTATTTGCTGTCTGCTGTGTGTCCACCTGTGTGCATACATACTGGCCGCAGCATAACTGTGGTTAGGAACACAAGCCACTTAGGTTTCAACTAGGAAGTGCCTCTTAGGAGCCATATCACCACAGGTAAGTTCTTTAACCTCTCTGGGCCTATCTCCGAAAAATGTAAATTATGTGGTTCATATTTAAGGTTAACATAGTCTATAGATCAACCCTAATCCAACAGATATATGATAAAAGCCACGGTGTAATTTTTAATTTTCTGGAAGATACATTAAAACATAAAAAGTAACAAGGTGGAATTAATTTTAATAATCTATTGAATTCAGTATCCAGAAAGGTTGATTTCAAAATGTAATCAATACAAAAGATTATTAATGGGATATTTGACATTCTGTTTTTCATTCAAAGTCTGAAATCTGATACATATTTTACACTTCCAGCACAATTCAGTTCAAACTAGGCCACATTTCCAGTGCTCAGTAGCCATATGTGGCTGGTGGCTACTGTATTAGACAGGTATAGACCATCCTAAGACCCTTACCAGCTACAAGTGTTTGTTATTGTTATTGTTGTCCTATTATCACATGTCTGTGAGTTGTGGGTGTTCATGTGTCATGTCTCTTGTCTTTGTGAATATTTCTGGAGGCTTCTGAGAGAGGGCTGGGTGAGCAGTCCCGAGCTCCTGTTCCCACCACCCCCATCCTAGAGAGGCTGTCTGGGCAGGTTTTGATGGGAGCCCTGACCCCATCCTGTGTCTCTGGCCCTTGTCCTCCTAGCTCCCCAAACCGTGCCTTCTGTGCCTTGCCTGTCCCACTCCCCTCCAGGAACGAGGCCCACTGTCTCTTGCCTGTCCCCTGCAGGTGGCCAGAATGGAGTTGTGGCCGGGGATATGGCCTGTGCTGCTGCTGCTCTTCCTGCTGCTGCTCTTCCTGCTGCCCACCCTGTGGTTCTGCAGCCCCAGTGCCAAATACTTCTTCAAGATGGCCTTCTACAATGGCTGGATCCTCTTCCTGGCGGTGCTCGCCATCCCTGTGTGTGCTGTGCGAGGACGCAACGTTGAGAACATGAAGTGAGGGCCAAGGGGTTTTGGGTGATGAGAGAACCTAAGAGTCCGAAGTGAGCAGTGGGTGGGGAGGTTGTGGGATGTGTAAGGAAGACGGAGAGGGCCCAGGGACAAGGAAGGAGAGAGAACTGCAGATGCCCAGAAAGGCAGTGGCGGGGGGCGGGTGAGGCGTGCTGACGGACATCAGTGGGTCCTGCTGGAACCCCTTGCCGTGACCCCACAGGATCTTGCGTCTGATGCTGCTCCACATCAAATACCTGTATGGGATCCGAGTGGAGGTGCGTGGGGCCCACCACTTCCCTCCCTCACAGCCCTACGTCGTGGTCTCCAACCACCAGAGCTCACTCGACCTGCTTGGTGAGACCCCTGGTAGGGCATACCTCCCCCAGTTATGCCCTTCCCCTTTCCCCAGAATCTCTTCCGCTAGGGGTCCGCAACTCCCCTTCGTCTGGACATTGCTCCCTTTCCCTTTCCCCCAGTCCTTCTTACCCTCATAAGTAGGCTAATATGTACTTAATCACCCCATCCTCCTCAGGGCTTCCCGCCCCCTCTCCCCCATCTCCGTCCTTAAGAATGTGGGGGATGGCCTGTTTCCCATGACGCTTTACCTCTACCCTGATCTTCACTCCCACCCCCGACCTTTGCCTTAGGGATGATGGAGGTACTGCCAGGCCGCTGTGTGCCCATTGCCAAGCGTGAGCTGCTGTGGGCTGGCTCTGCTGGACTGGCCTGCTGGCTGGCAGGAGTCATCTTCATCGACCGGAAGCGCACTGGGGATGCCATCAGTGTCATGTCTGAAGTTGCCCAGACCCTGCTCACCCAGGACGTGAGTCCCCTGTGGCAAAGGGGGGTGGCAACACTGGGGAGTAGAGCAGGGCCAGCAGCCCTCAAAGGTCCATTACAGCCTCATGACCGTTTTCGGACCCCTCTGTGTATGTCTTCTTGACCTCTGTCTTCCTCAGGTGCGGGTCTGGGTTTTTCCAGAGGGCACGAGAAACCACAATGGCTCCATGCTGCCCTTCAAACGTGGCGCCTTCCACCTTGCAGTACAGGCCCAGGTAATTACTATTTCCCCCTCTGCTACTGAGCCCCCAGCTTCCACCATTCTTTTCTTTCTTGGCAGAGGTTTGTCATGGGGGCCTTGGAAGGGAACTGTGGGCTGTTTGCTTTTCCCTTCCCCAGGTTCCCATTGTCCCCATAGTCATGTCCTCCTATCAAGACTTCTATTGCAAGAAGGAGCGTCGCTTCACTTCGGGTGAGGGCTCTGAGTAGATCTGGGGCTGGGGGTGGCTAGAAAGGCCATGGGAGAGAGAGGGTAGACATCCCCATGAGACAGGAGGATTGGTCAGTGTCAGAACTGAGATGTCCAAAGGATCATCCAGTGACCCCACATCAACTAATAAATATTTATTAAGCGCCCACCATACCCTGCTACATGGGTAACACTTGATCCCTCCAACAGGGGCCATTACTGCCCAGAGGGAAAGATAAGACCTGTGTGTGCAAAGCTGTAATAACACTTGGCAGTGAAAGTTAATCCTAGATGATGGGGGCTGGAAGGGTGCTAAGGAGGTGTCCGGACTGGGAAGGCTTTGTGCAAGAGGGCCTTAAAACAGATAGCAGCTGGCAAGCAGAGGGGCAATTGTCCAGGGTAGGGGGAAAAGAACTGAAAGGTTGGGGAGGGAGTAACAGGAGAGCTCAGGAACTGGGCCCTGCCTGTAAGCAAAGGCCTAGGTAGACAGCCCTTGATGGTGCTCACCCCCTCCCAGGGCGATGTCAGGTACGGGTGCTGCCCCCGGTGCCCACAGAAGGGCTGACACCAGATGACGTCCCAGCTCTGGCTGACAGAGTCCGGCACTCCATGCTCACCGTTTTCCGGGAAATCTCCACTGATGGCCGGGGCGGTGGTGACTGTCTGAAGAAGCCTGGAGGGGTGGGCGACGCCCGGCTCTGAGCTCCCTTCCCATCTACCCCCATGTTCCTCCCACACCTACCAACCCAGTGGGCCCTGAAGCAGGGCCAAGCCCACTTCCTTGTTTCTCCTCTCCCCACTGTTCTCCTCTTTGGAATCTTCAATTTCTGAAGTGAATGTGGATATAGCACCGCTCCTTGCCCCTTCCCAGCTCCCCCCATGGACTCTCTTGCCTCGGTGCAGTCTCCACTCTGACCCCCACCCACCTCCTGTGCCATCTTGTCTTTGGGACGGTTGCCTCCCCCTCATCTCCAGTGGCTCACCTACACAAGGGTGGGAACACACCATCCTTTCCCCAGGGGACCCTCTTCTTTTGTGATCTTCTCTCCCTCTCCACCCCACATTGGCCAGTGGACTCATCCATTCTATGGAACAATACCCTACCACAAGTCCATGGATTCAGTGGACTTATCCGTTTGTGAGGACTCCTCACACTGTGGCTAGAAGCAATGCCTGGAACATTCCTGGCTTATCCTGGGAACACTCCTCAGCACCCTCACCCTCCCTCCCATGGAGCCTCCTATCAGTGGAGGCTGGACTCTTCTCACTCAGAGGTTTCATCCTGCCCATACCCAGGTGCCCAGGGGTGAGCATACTCCTAGATGCCAGTTTGGTCTCCACATTTCTGCTTCCCCCCATCCCTGTGGTACAGTTCTTCAGTGGTCCTGGCCCCAACCCAGTCCCCTGCAGCCCGGCTGTACCATTCTAACCAGACACAAGGGGAAGAGGCAGACATTAGGTGCTGCACTCACTTCTGCTCCCTGGGAAGTTGGGGAAAGGAACTGAACCCTGGCTGGAGGGGATGGGAGGGCTTTTAATTTATTTCTCTTTCTTTTGAGGCTTCCCCTCTCTGAGCCAGTTTTCATTTCCTCCCTGTGGCATTAGCCACTCCTGCCTCCCACCCCAGACCTGTGCCCACAACTGGGAAGGTGGGCTGGGAGCAAAAAGAGAGGGTGGGACCCAGTTTTGTGTGGTTTTTATTAATTATCTGGATAACAGCAAGAAACCCGAGAATAAAGATTGAGAGAGAGAGAGAGAGATCTGGGCACTTTCTGGCTGCATTTGTTAAGGCACAGAAGTGGTTCTCGCCTAGGCCACCTCCCCCAGCCAGAAGACTCAGGGGTGGGCCCAAGGCACCCATCTTTCCCCCTTCCTTCAGCTCTCGTAAGTTTCTGTCACTCATTGCTCCTTAGTGGCAGATAACCTTATCTTCGCTTCCCCAGCTGGCCAATCCCAGAGGATTAGTGGGGCCAGTTTCTGTATAAATTAGGGGGCAGGGGCTCTGGAGGGGTTCCTTATTGGCCGCCGATTGAGATTGAGGCCTGGGCCCAGGCTGTTGTCCTCACAGGAGCCTGGTGAATGACAAGGAGGCAGACACATTGGCTGTGGACTTCTGGGGCTGCCAGGGCACTGGAGACACTCTCACCCAGCAATAAGTGGACTGGGGACAGGGTACCAGAAGAAGGGGTGAAATATGGGTATCTGAGGACAGTATGCGGAGACTGAGTGTTGGGGAAGGGTTTGGGGAAAAGAGAAAAGTGAACCAGGGAAGGGTGTCCGGGAGAGCTGGGGGCAGCTAATGGGGATGGGGATTCAAGCAGAGAAGGGCATGAGGACTTACAGGCACCTAGCCTCTCCTCCAGCAGCAGCACTTGGTCGCTGAGAGACTCGATCCTGTCGCCGCGGCCCCATAGCTCTGCCACCTGTTCCGGCTGTAGCTCTTCAGGTGGCATGGGCAGCATGGCTCGGACCCAGGCCCCGGCCTGACCTGCCCACTACAAAGGAAGAGACGCTTCAGAGTGTTGGGGGTGGAGCACACCCTGCCAAGAGGGGTTGGACCCAGGCACCAACATTCACCTGCTCCAGCCGCTCCAGGCGCCCTTGAAGCTCCCAAATCTCCTGTCTCAGGGCATGCTCATCTTGTTCTGCTTCCCGAACTGGGACAAAAGAGGGCATGACCCACTGCCCAGTTGAGTGCAGGCCCTCACTGCCACCCATGCTCCCACTCACCTGCCACACTGAGGATGTTGGCACCAGTTGGGGGCTCCGGGGCGCCCTCTGTGCAGGTGCGCCTGTCCAGACCCAGCACCAGGCCTTGAGGACAGCCACAAGTAAAGCTGCCTGCGGTATTGAGGCAACGGTGCGAGCAGAGGGCAACACCAGTCCTACATTCATCCACGTCTAATTATGGGAGAGAAGATGGGGGCTGAAGGGTGGGGGCGAGCTGGCACCCCAAAGGTATGAGGTCCTGGTGCCACTGTATGGGGGTGCAGGGCGAGCTGACTCACCCACATGACAGTGCTTCCCACCCCAGCCTGGGGCGCACTCGCACTGCTCTGGCCTAACGCAGACGCCTCGGTTCTGACACGGCTTGGCACAAATGGCTGTGGGCACAGAAGGGTGGTTCAAAACCAGACCCACTGCCTGCCTCCCCAGCCCTGCGGGGCACCCTGACCCCAGGCCTGGGAAGACCCAGTCTCACCATCACAGGTGAGGGCCCCTGGATGCCGCTTCTTCCAGCCCTGGCAGCACACGACGTGGGTCTGCGGCACCTCCCTCCTCACCTCCCTCCACGCCACACGGTATGTGGTCCTGGAACATAGACCCGGCTCTGAACATTGCTTTATGGGTTTTGGTCTGGGTTCTTGAATTTCTTCTTGAAAGACTCCAGAGTCCAGCCTCCCTATCCCTCACCTGTAGGTGCTGCAGATGCGTCTTCCATCACACACGGTCAGGTAGGGCTTATACACTGGTTGGCTGTAGGACTCGTTGTAATGGAGGGGGACCACGAGCATCTGCCTGGAGCAGACCCCCTGGCTGCACCCATGCCAGAGAAGGTAAGACACATTCAGTGACCTGGGAGCGGTCAGGAGTCCCATTTCCCTTAAGTCTCCACTGAGGCCCTGCCCTCCCTGGAGGTGACCACCTCACCCCCATTCTAAACTTCATGGTTTTGTCACCTGTTGACGCCCCACCCCCAGCAGGTTTTCTGAAGACCTCACCCCTGGACCCGCCCCCCTTTCATCACCTCTCTTTGAGGGATCCACCCTTGGCCCCCTGGACTGACATCAGTAGCAGGAGGAATGAGAGTCCGCCTAAGAGACTGCACGGTTCATCCCTGGACCCCATGATTCTCCTTGACTCCAAACTGCAGGCAAGAAGAGGTTAATGGAGGCCATTCCCCTCTCCCATAACTTTTCCAGCTCCAGCCCCTCCAAGAGCAGTCTGCTAGTACCCTCTAAGGGAGTTAGTACGTTCACTTGTACACATTTGCACTAGCCACCAGGATTGTCTACACCTGCGTGTACATTTAACACGACCCCTTCATCCAGCACAGCATGGTCCAAGTATGCATCATGCAATTGCACACCCCAACACACTCCCTCCATCTTCTGTACACACACACTCTGCCCATAACCTTCCTATCTGTAACAAACCCTCTTCTATCTTAATTTTTCTACCTTCAAAGTCTCAGATATTCACCATTACACCCCCTCACACCCTGCACACAAACCCATGCACCTGGAAACTGCACCTTAAACACATTCCTACTACCCCACATACCCACACCCTCACTCCTACCACACTCCCCAACTCACACTCACGCTAAGGCTCATTCCCCGTTGACACTGTCTCCCCACCTGTCTTTCCCTCTCTCCCGGAGACTTCCAGCAGACCAGCCTCAGCAACAGCAGCTCAGACTGGTGGGCGGGTTGGGCAGGCTGGAAAGGAGAGGAGGGGCTGGGCCAGACAGAATCCTCCCATCCCTGCCCCCTCCCACAAGCCTCCTTCACAGCTCCTGCTTGATCAGCTCCATGGGGTCTAAGTCCCACTACCTTCACCACCACCCCAGCAAAGGGCCCCCTAGAAGTAAATTCCAAACTCTTCGAACCCCCTTATTTCTGGACTCCCCAGATCAGCAGAGGCTACCAGCTCTGTAACACCACCAGTACCCCTGGCTCTTGACACACCCCTCAACCCAACACAGACTCGGGGAGAACTGAGGAACAGGGAGAGAGAGCTGGCAGAGAAAAGCAGGGTCAGGTCATGGGAGAAGAAGCAAGATTCAATGAGGAAAGAAAGGAGGGCAAATCGTCACAAAGGGACAAGGGGGGTGGGTGGGAAGCCCATGGCACTAAGGGGAAATTGCCCCCATTTGATGATGACATTTGTTAGGGCCTGGGGGTGGGGGGCAGAGTTGAGTCAGCCACCGCCCCCCATACCAGAGCAGACAGGGCCCTATTGTCTCCACCAAAATTCCTTCTTTTGAGGAAGAGGAGGCTCATTGTCCAGCCCCTCACCCAACTCAGGCCTACAAAGGTCGAAAAGGGGTGCAACAAATGCCCACCCTGACCCTTAGCCCCCTCGTCTAGCCTGGGGGTGGCAGACGCATTCCACCCATGAGGCTAGGGCACAAACCACTGAAGCCCTGGGCTCAGCCCCCCAGGCTTAGGCTGGAACAGGAAGAGAATTGTCCTCTGCAGGAAAGAACCCACAGAGAATCAGGAACCCACACAGAATGGGCATTTAGAGAGCGGAAACACCAAGGGGGTCCCACCCCACACCAGGCATCCGGGCACCCAGACCTCAGGCTCTCCATCCCCACCCTCCTTGGGGAGCCAGGTCCCCCTCACCTGGAAAGGAGCCAAACCACACTGAGGAAATGGACTTTTATTTCCATAAATACAGGGTTAACACCCATTCAATGGTAGCTAAAAGGGGCTGGGGCCTCAAAGACACTAGGCTCCCAGGGGGTACCCCAACACTGAACAGAGGGACTGGGGGATCCCCAAACCTGAGATGGGCCTCACAGGCCATAGATATTCCCCAACACTGACATTTCAAGAACGGAACTGTCCCCATAGGGGAGCCTCAGAACCCCACTCTCATGGGTAGTCCTTCCTGGGAGTTGGGAGGGCTGAGAAGAAGGGAAAAGGGAACATGGGGAGAACAGGAGCTAAAAATGTCCTGAGTGGCCTAGAAGGAGACCCCTGTAGTGGGCAGGGGCTGGGTTCTCCTATACAGCCAGAGACAGAGCAGCCACAGCAGCAGGAGCAGCCACGAGATAAAAACCTGGTTTCTCTCTTCCCGACCTCGGCCTTGGCCTCGGGAGAGTGAGAGAGCATGGAGCAAACCCCAAACATGAGGTGGGAGGAGACCAGGATTTGTCATCTACAGAGGAGCACAGGAAGGGAGTCCTGGGAGCCCTGGTTGGTGGGGGCAGTGTGGGAGCAATGGGGTGGTTGCAGGCACACCGGAGCTGACCTCTGCTTTCCAAGGCCACCGCTTGGTCTCTGGGCTGGGAAGTTCCTGAGGGATCCCTGAGGACATCCTCAGGAGAGCCAAGGTTCAATGCAGGTCTCATAAAGGGTACGGTTGGAGTGCCAGGCCGTATGGGAGATCCCAGCCATCGGACACCTCACTATGGCTCCCCGAGCCAAGAGAGTCTTCAACCCAAAAGAATCCCGCAGATAAACCTTCAAGGTGGGCAAAGAGTCATAAAAGGAGAAACAAAGTGAGCTCCTCCTGGTGTCCCAGGTCCCCTCCCCACAGGGTGAACCCTTCAGCTCAAGGGGTCAGTGGCAGGGAGGGCTACAGACTGAGGTGGGGCTGTGCCAGAAGAAAGGGGAAGTCATCCCAGGGGGCTCACCGGTTGCTCCTCCATCTCCAAGACCGTCTCATTTGCATCATAGAAACCAAAGAAGCTACAAAAGAGATTGAGGGCGGGTAGGGGAGGAGGTTATCAGGAGAGCGGGAGAAAATCAAGGTAGGCTAGGGGAGGGACCTCAGGAATTCATGGCCTATTGGGAGATAGGCAGCAAGGAAGACACTCACAATATTCAAGTGGATATCATGTACCTCACAAGATGACACAGAGGCTACAGCGTTGCTTCTACAGAGTCCCATCAAAAATGCAAACCTGAATCTAATCATGAGGAAACAGCCAACAAACCCAAACTGAGGGACATTCTACAAAATAGTTCAAAAATATCAATGTAATGGATGAAGACAGAGGAAATATCCCAGGGGGGAAAAAGAGAGAGACTAAAGAGACACGGACAAGTAAATGCAACACATGATCCCAGGTTAGATCTTGCACTGCATTTTTTTTTCCCCTATGAGGACAACTGGAAAATATTTGAATAAGGTCTATAGAGTATCTTATTGATGTTAACTTCCTGACTTCGATAATTATATTGTGGATATGTAAAGAGAAGTCCTGTATACACAAAACAGACACTGACACACTGAAGTTTTAGGAGTAAAGAGACATCATGTCTACAACCTACTCTCAAATGGTTCACAAACACACCTATACCCCCGTATACATATTTAGATGTGTAGAAAGAATGAGGACATAAACATGGCAAAATGGTAACCTTTAGAAAATCTAGGTGAAGAGTACATACAATTGTTTTGTAATACTTAAGCAACTTATTAAGTATGAAGTTATTTCAAAATAAAAAGGTCTTAAAATTTTGAAAAGTAATATTTAATTGGCATGGGCAGTGAGTGGGCACTGACCATGAACAACAAACGTTAACAGTGCTAAGTCCAAGGGACAATGGGAACAAAAAAAGACCACCCCGCTGGTTTTAGAGCACCAACAAAGCCTTCCCAGTGAGGTACTCTCCACTAGGGAATGCTGATCCCCCAGCAAACAGAAGAGCAGGAGCAAAGGTACAGAGGTGAGGCCCAGCTGGGCACATGGGGGAGCTGGGTTGGGGGCCTGAAGACCACATGGAGGGGCTGGATTTCATCAGGTATAGGAGAGCAGTAGGGGCACACAGACCTGGATGTGAACTCCAGCTCTGCCACACACTCCCAAATGTATGTGGTTGAGCATATTACTTATCCTCTTTGTCCTATTTAAGAATACTTCCTTTTCAGAGAGGAAGTGAAACACCCTGGTTAAGTTAGATAGCCTGACTTCACCAGTTACTAACTCTATGAATGGAGACAAGTTATTTAAGCTCCTTGCACCTAAGTTTCCTTACATGTTAAACGAGGATAATAGTAATTACCATGAACCCTGTCTCCTTATATGTCAAAGGAGGATTAAAGGAGATTTATTTGAAAAGTACTTAGAATTGTGCCTTGGGACATAAAAGGTACTATATAACTGTGAGCTATTACAATCTTCAGAGGGTCATAGATGTAAAATGAGATAGAATAAATCCCAACCCTTGCTATTATAAGGAACATGACTCCTTCACTTAAAACCCTCCAATGCCTTTTTCATCTCACTCAGATTAAAAAATCAAGGGCCATGGTTGCCAGGAGCTGGGGGGAGGCAGGGATGGGGAGTTCTTGTTTAATGGCTATGGAGTTTCAGTTTGGGAAGAAAAAAAAAGTTCTGAATATGGATGGTGGTGATGGTTACACAAGAATATCAATGTGCTTCATTGCCGCTGCACTGCACACTTAAAATGGTAAATTTTATGTTCTGTATATTTTAGGAAAAAACAAAAATAAAAAACAAGGGCCTTACTTTGCCCTACAAAGGGTCAATATTTCTGGCTCCCTGCTACCTCTTTCATCTCCTCTCCCACCCTCTTCCCAGCTCCCTGGGCTCTAGCCACACTGGCGACCCTATTCCTCACACCAGCCCCAGGACCTCTGTAGGTGCCACTCCTTTCCCCCCCCCAGATTGTTGCACAGCTCCTTCCCTCACTTCCTTAAGTTTCTACTCCCATGACAAGTCTTCCAGGACTTATCTGGCCACTATCTGACATAGGGTCCAGTCACCCTCTAATCCCTTCCCCTGCCTGTCTCATCACCACCTGACATGCATATTTGCATCTATTTTTCTGTCTCCCACACTAGACATTAAACTACGTAAGAGTGGGGACTTCTCTTTCATTTACCGCTGCATCCCAATGGCCCAGAACAGGGCCTGGGCATATATACAGTGCTCAATAAATATTTGTTGAATGACTAAAGGAGCTTAGGTGACATTTCAGATCACTCATGATGAATTGCAGCAGAGGCCCACACATAGCACAATGGAGCCATAGATTTTCCTGAGGAATCGGATGGAGGAGATAAGGCTGGAGGCTATTACAAAAGTCCAGGTATATAAAAGAGGTGGAAGGAAACGTGGCATGGAATTATACACACACATCCTACCAATGACGATTTCC